GGGGAAGATTCAATAATCTCTTAAGTTACTAAGCTCCCTAGGAATGAAGTCTCCTGGTGTATCGATCTACTTTTTGCATTTGTGGCCCCATGTATTAGTGATGGCCTATCCACACGTGAATGTAGCGCTCCTGCGCTGCTCGATAGATAATTCTTTAAATTCATGAATATTTCTAGAATTTAGGGCTTCTTTTGAAATCCGGGAGTATTTCTAAATTCACAAACGTTTTTAACTTTGGGAAACATTTTTAAAATTCATGAACATTTTCTAATTGGCTAAATTTGCAAACATTTTTTAATTTCATGAAGATTTTCTTCAAATCCATAAACATTTTATACAAATTTTTCTCTACATTTTTTAGTTTTCGTTTCTCTTTGTTTTTTTTCCTTCGCTTCTTCAGATGGACGTAGGTCCAATAGGGGAATTGGCCAACCAACAAAAGTGAGCATCCTGGTGTGTGCGCATTTGGTCGTCCTTCGACATGATGCGCATGGGACAGGACATCTCCGGCATCTAGGTTATTTCGTTGCTAGGGAGGGACGGACTGATTATCTCCTTCGTGCATTTGTGGGGGCTGGCACCACCATGTTGGTTCTGTGCCGAGCAGTGGGGTTACCGCTTTCTCCGCCTTCCTTGTCAGGCTACTTGGTCAGTGAATTCGCGGTGGAAGACTGACGCCGTGCTAGTGCTAGGGAAGAGCTAGAACATAAAGACCAGGCATGGAGATCCAAGCATACATGAGAACATGCTGGAGATCCAATATAGTTAGGCCTTGTGGTAGTAGATCTAACATTAAGGTTGGCAGTCGACTAGGTTGAGAGATTAGAGTCCTTTTGGGACAAAACTCAATCCAAGGAGAGTTTTTTTAGAAATACCAGTGCAAGGAGAGTATTTTTAGGAGGCAGGGGCAGATGTGCTTTTGGTTGTGTGGGGGCATGCATCGGTACATGGGCCTAGGGCCATGCCTATAAGTGCCAGCAAAGTAGGGAAGTAAGAGAAAAGGGAGGTCCATTTCAGTTTATATATGATCTAATGGTCAATTCGTTTTATATAGGATGAGAATCAGTGATACACGCTGTCGGATCCAAATTCGGTATATCTTGGGTAGGGGGTCCCGAGCTGGTGATCTCGGCTAGATGGTAACATGAAGTAGAGGAACGCGGTGTTTACCCAGGTTCGGACCCTTTCGAAGAGGTAAAACCCTACGTCCTGCTTGTATTGTATTGATTGTGGATGGGGTACAAAGTACAAGATGATCTACCTCGAGATCGTATGAATGATCTAATCTCCCTCTACAGGCTAAATCCCTCGGCTTATATAGGGGCCGGGGGATACCTGGGGTTACATATGGTCAGTTGCATCTAGAGATAAACATGCCAAATATTTCAATATGCCTTCAAGTGTACGCCAAGTCTTCAGAGAATACCACCTTGAGTACGCTGAGGGCATGGCATACGTGGCCTATTCTTTGGTCGTCGGTGGTGATGAAGCTATGTACCTAGGGTAGGGTCATGGACCTGTCCTAACTGCCCTACCCAAGGACATCTCTAGAAGAAATCACCTTTCAATCGACTTGGAGGTGTTCCACTCGACAGACTCGAAGACACTCGACCAAGAAGCAATCACTCGACCAAGATCCAATCACTCGACGGCCAGGAGACCTAAAGCCACTCCGCACGCTAACGGTCGGTCATTAAGTAGCTTTTATGGTCATCATAGCACTTTATTTCTAGCGTTACCAGTAACGCCCTGCCTTAATGTACATTGAACCCTTCGTAACGTGGGCTGGCCGGGGTCCTGGCGCACTCTATATAAGCCACCCCCTCCTCCGAGACAAGGGTTCGCACCCCTCTAACTCATACTCTCATAATCCAGTCGACCGCCTCCGGGCTCCGAGACGTAGGGCTATTACTTCCTCCGAGAAGATCCTGAACTCGTAAACCTTGCGTTCTTACAACTTCTCCATAGCTAAGATCTTGCCTCTACGTACTTACCCCCCTACATCACTGTCAGACTTAGAACCACGACAGTTGGCGCCCACCGTGGGGCAGGTGTTTTAGCGTTTGTTGGAGGAGTTGCGATCTTTTCCGACCCGAATCATCATGGTTTTCGGCGGAGTTTCGGTGGAGGGCCGCGAGATCCGTCTCGGCGCGCTCACGTTCATCGTCGACGACTCTGCTTGGCTCCAGGAGGCTCCGCTCGACGTGGACGCACTCCCTGTTCGCGGGGCAACGCACTTTAGCGCGTGCGTCCGCGGCGTTCTCCTGCGATAACCGTCGACCCCCTACCAGTCGGCTCCTGTGTTGTCCTCCCTTCCCGTTTCCCGCTGGCGCAAGCGCTCCGGTCGGTCGAGACTTCAGCGGTGGGTGAGACACGTGGTGGCACGTCAGTCGGCCACCCCTCAAGTCGCGGCAATCGAGCCCGACGAATCCCTCTACGGCCTGTTCGACCTGTCGACTGGCTCCGCAGAGACCGCATCCAAGTGCGACAGCAGCGATCCGGCGGCGGAGGTTCTGATGGTCGATGGACCGCCCAGTCCTCCCGGTTTTCCCCGCATCGACGGAGGCGCGGGTGGAGGCGACCCATCGCGTCTCCATGAGGAGTATCTTCCCGAGCCTCTCACGTCGCTGCAGAGAGAAGAACTTCGCCGCCGGAACGTGAATGCACTGCACACTCCTATCGTTGGAGAAACCCCCGAGGCTCGCACCTTGGAGGACGCGCGCTTGGCAAACTTGGCCGAGCGCACTCGACTGGAGAATCTCCAGCGAGCACTCGACGAGCGTGCGCGATAACGGGTTCCCGAATCCAGTCGATGTCAGCTCTTCCCGCCCCCGTAGGTATATCGAACTCCGGTTCAGAATTTAGCAGCTGCGGCCCGTATAGCAGAGTCGATTCAGCCTTCCCAGTCGAAGGCTGGCAGAGACTTGCTGCAGATCAGAGCGTTACTCCGGGCAGCAGGAGATCAGAATTCCGCTGTTTCTCAGTCGCGGAATAGGATTCACAGCAGATCCCTTGCCGCGGACACAGTCCAGTCGGCTCACTGCCCGAGATCGCCCCCAAGGCGTGAGGGACATGGAGACTGGCGTGACCAGTATGGGAACCATGAGCAGTATGATCACCGAGTCGATCGTGACGGTCGACGTCGAGCGTCCACGCCTTCCCCGAGGAGCGGGTCGTA